GTTAATTTATATATGATAGTTCGGAAAAACCGAGGAGCTCTAGGATCAGTTCCATACATTGACCACTTTTACGGATTTTTCGGATCTTCCAGAGGACGGTCCGACGGCCACCTGGGTCCGTGTTTATGTCACGATCGCAAATTCATTCTAATATCACAGTTACTAACGTTTTCAAGAAAACCACGGAGCTCTAGGATCAGTTTCATGAATTTTCCAATTTCACGGATGTTCCGGATCTTCCGGAGAACGGTCTCATGGCCATCAAGAACCATGTTTATGTCACGACCCCAAATTCATTCTATCATCTCAGTTCCTAATGTTTAAAAACCGCGGAGCTCTAGGATCAGGATCGTGGATTGACCACTTTTACCACAAACTTGCCGTTACACGTTTTTCGGAGGCATCCTATTCGAAGTGTTTATCATATCTCCTACACTGTACCAAAACGTCATCCTCTGTTCGAATGATACCTCTTACTTACCTTACCAATCAGGATATGGCCTTTTTGTCCTCTACTGTCCGAAGAAGTCGCCTTGACTCTAATCGATCGATCCGTATTTATTTCTTCGGTATTTACAACTTTGTATTTTTCCAGGGCTGCTTGTTGGGCTTGCCCCAACTCATTGTCTCGCCGGGGAACCATTATGCACAGCTCTGATTAAAGTCCCATGCTGGTACTAGCACGGGGAGGCACTCTTAAGATGGAGAACAGACGCCATTTCGAGCCGCACCTCCATGGTGAATAGATACTCTGGTTTGGTGAAGCATTTCCTCTATCACCGTACTTTGGTTACCGCGCCAGTGTTCGCGTCGCACCTCTTCACTTTGCTATTGCCGGACTGGCAACATTGCCCAGGCTACGCCACCCAGCTGTGTCCATGTTTCAGCTGGTAGTCTTTTGTTATCATATGATTCAGGGAGGCGTGAGGTAGGAACTTGTGAGGACCAGAACTTGTGAGGACCAGAACTTGGTATTCCGCTCCTTCCAGGTTGTCAACTCACCATAGTCCCAATGAAACCTCAAACCATTCAAAATCAAAACATCGAAATCGCTTTTTCGAATGATAGCTGCAATCGGATGACAGTTGTTTTGAAACCAGATGATGCTCCTCTCGAATACAGGATGAATATTGATACGAGAAGCGAACGGACCTCAGTTGAAATGTGTAATGCTCTCTGTTTAATGATTGTCATTCCCAATTGATATGCATATGGTATTGGTTCAACCCCATAACGTAAATCATCCAAAATCTAATTTAAAGGATTTGCAAGTCTTTCTATTCTTAAATTGTTATCCTCTGAGCACTACATGCTGTCCCTTTATTTGGTATTTATTGACTACGAAAAAGCTGTCGACCGACGCAATCATGAGAATCTGTGTGGCGCCCAGAGACGCAAGGGAGTCCCGGATAAAATCGTCAACCTCATCGAAGCGCAGTATCAGGCTTTTACGTGCAGAGTTCTGCATAACGGAGCCTTGTCTGACCCTATCCGGGTAGTAGCTGGTATGAGACTATCACCGCAATTGTTCCTCATCGTAATCGACGAGATCATGGTGGGTTCAACTGACCGAGTACCGAACCGTGGGCTGCTTTGGCAGCCTATCACCATGGAGCATCTCAACGACTTCGATTTGGCTGATGATGTTGCTCTACTAGCACAACAAGCTCAATGACCTAGCCGAACGCTCCTCTGCGGCGGGTCTCACCATTAACGTCAACAAGACCAAATCGTTGGATGTCAACACGGGCAACCCTTCCAACTTTACGGTAGCGGGGCAAACAGTGGAGAAGGACGAAAGTTTCCAAAATCTTGGCAGGCAAAAAGCGTCGGACGGCGGGACCAAGAGCAACATAGGTGCACGAATCAAAATTCGAACGACGACCAAAATTCGAATTTTCAACTCGAACGTAAAATCTGTGTTGTTATACACCGGCGAGACGTGGTGTGTATCAGCGGAGAACACTCAGAAGCTGCAGTTGTTCATCAACCGATGCCTGCGGTATATAGTTCGTACCTGGTGGCCTCACAACTGGACCTCAAATGCCGATGAACAGAAATTCGAGAGCAAAAGCGGAGGTGGGTCGGCCACACACTTCGACGGGGCGGAAACGAAATCTGCAAGCAAGCGCTGGATTGGAATCCGGCAGGACATCGCAGCAGAGGCGGACCCAGGGGCTCATGGCGGCGGAGCCTCAACAAGGAAATAAAGCAAGTCGAAAGGAATCTGACCTGGGGCCAGGTCAAGGCAAAAGCGAGCAGCGGCTTCCGTGAGGCTAGGAAAAATTAAGTTAATGAATTACCTAACGATCAATAGAATGCAAGAATAGAGCACACACAATATAACATAAACGACCAAAAATATTATTGGAAAAGCATATGTACCCGGGTAGACCCGACAGTTATTTATGGTTCATTGGTACTTCTTATCATAATTGATCCAACAACGATAATTTTTGCTTTCAGAAATTGCCATTTTCAGAGAAATTTTAACTGAAAAATTGGTGGCAATTTGCTATAAAATCGATTGACAAAGCAAATGAATCGATTCAAAATATTGCAGTCTTCAAAAAACTTTTGTAGTTTTTTTTATATTGAAAACATTGTAGAACACACACTTAGAAAAATTGATGTAAGTTTAGGTGCTCTGAGACTGACATATACGAGCGTCAATTTTGACATAAAATTGAGTCATAATAGACGCGAAATTCAGCTCAATAAAACGTACTTTCAAGCTTTTCAGTCTCGGAGCACTTAATTTTACATGACATGTTTGTTAAAGTCTCATCATTTCTGTTAAATATGGATTCGGTCACGTGTAAGATTAGATATTTCTAAGTGTGCACATCAAATCGATTAAATAAGGTTTATGATGCAAACAAATCAAAAGATGGATTTTAAGCAAGTCCTGACAAAAATTCATTTATGTATCGTTAAAATTATTATCTAGAACTAAGTGTCTTTGGCAAAGTTTCATGGAATTCATACATCTTTTCCAAAGTTATAAGCCTTTTATCTTGTGATTACAAAAAGTTAGTTTTTCTAAGCGTTATACCACCTTAATAAACCTTTATGGACATTATTCAAAATATGCAAAATGACATTTCACATTGACATTGAAATAGTAAACATATTTAACAGATTAAATTATAGTATACTTTGAGTGGTTTACTAAAAATTCCGTATTCCGGTTTAAACTCCTAATTCATTCTGATGAGACGTCTCTGAGCGTGTTTTAGAAATAAAATAACTGCTGAGTTCTAGAATTTAATTTTCAAGAGTTGACCAGTTTTTCCGAAGGACCATTACGTTGTACCAGGGGTCCATTTTCTGCTCACATCTCCGAATTCATATTGATAAGACTTTCATAAATAGTTTCGAAAAAATGGCTGAGTTCTAGACTTAGTTTCATGAGTTGACCACTTTTACGGATATTTCAGATCATCCAGAGGTCCATTCCGTGATCTCCACGGTTCATATTCCGGCCACAGCTCCGAATTCATTCTGATAAGACGTCTATTAGTGGTATTGAAAAAACCACATAGCTCTAGGATCAGTTCCACGAATTGACCACTTTGCGGATGTTCCGGATCTTCCGGAGGACTATCCTGTTGTCCCGTGCGTTTAAATTCCAGTCATAAACTCTGAATTCATTCTGATAAGACCCTTAAAGAATTACTGAAAAAAACAATGATCAGTTTCATGAATCGATCACTTTTACGGATGTTCCGGATCTTCTGGTGGAAGTTTTTATTCCGATCACAACTCCTAATTCATTCTGATATGACATCTATGAGTGGTTTAGAAAAATACACGGAGTTCTAGGACCAGTTTTATGATTTGACCACTTGTACGGATGTTCCGGACCTTCCGGTTGACCATCTCGTGGTCCTCAGGGTCGTTTATCCAATCACAACTCCAAGTTCATTCTGATAAGACGTCTATTAGAGGTTTCGAAAAATCCACGGAGTTCTAAGATCAGTTTCATTAGTTGACCAATTTTTGGATGTTCCGGTGGACCATTCCGTGGTCCCCAGGGTTTATATTCCAGTCACAACTCCAAATTCATTCTGATAAGACGTCTATGAGTGGTTTCGAAAAATCCGCGGAGCTCTAGGATCAGTTTCATGAATTGACTACTTTTACAGATGTTCCAGATCTTCCACAGGGCCAGACTTGTGACCTACTGGAATCTGAACGTTCGCAAAAGGTTGGCAAATGCCTGTTTAACAATTTCTTCATAAACATCAGGAAGTTATCTCTTCAATTTGCCGTACAAATATGGTACGTGTATTCGTTTATGCCGGATATGAACTATAGGAATCCGGCAAGAACGAATCCGTCTATAGGAATCTTGACTGTATGTTGGTACATCTTAAATATACTGTTAACAGAAAGTCATGCAAGCTTTCGATCTTTACAGCCATTTTATTCAGTGACAGTTTATTCACCTCATCCTGTAAATCAGAGTAAATTTAATAAATTTTATTTTTATTTAAATACTTCCATCGTGTTAGTATTGGTATGTGTCAAAAATGATGTTTGAGTAACCAAAACGGCAAACATGTGTCAATGATACAAATTTTGGCCAAACATCCATCCGAACAAACGTCCATTCGGCCAAATGTCCATTTATCCAACAGTCTGTTCAGACAAACATCTTTAAATCTCTAAAAGCGGTATAGCCCAGGATCAGTATTCCAGGATAATTTGGATGACCTAGGACTTCCGAGAAACTTTCACGTGAACCAGATTAAAATATCTAAAAATGTCCTGAAAGGATGTTTGTTGACGTGAGGCAATTTTTGTTTCGAGGTCTTCTTAATTAGCTATTTAATACATTTTTAGGGTTGACTATTTAAGTGCTATTAAGGCCATTTTTTTGTAGCAATTTTAGAAGATTTTATGCATTTCATATCATTACATCGTGTCTGAAAATGACACCCTGCTTGCAATCCAACAATTTCCATCTTGCACCTAAAACGCGCTGGGATACTCACAAGTTCAGTCCTATCAGTCGGAGCCGCCCATCACAATCTGTCCAACCGGGAACCACTTTCACTTCAACAAATAAACGCTCCTCTCCAACTGCGGAGTCAGCTCACAAGCAGAAAAGTTGCTTCTTGCCAGCCACGCAAATTTTCCTGGACAGAAGAAGTACACCGCGCGATAGAAAGACACTTCATTCGTCGACCTTCGCCAAACCCGTACTAAGACACCACCGGTAGCACCACCACCGGCCGGTCCGCCTGCGATAATTAAATGGACCGACAGTACAGGCGGTAGTCGGAAATAGAACCGAAGAAACCCGGTAAGTGTTCCGCGCCCTACACGTGCCGTATACTGTTTCTAACGAAGGAACGGGCCATGTGGGAGTTTGAACCTCCACTGGACGAAACGAAAGTTCTAATCCTCTTACATAATGGGATTACATGCGTATATGGCATGAGTGTGTACGGTTAGTCTGGTGGTCAGATGGCTGCTGGTTGCGCGTTCTGTTCGTTGTTGTTTTGACTTTGGAGACGGATTTTGATTTAAGAAATGCTTGTAAGCTTTCGCAAAATCTTGTTTTCAATATCCTCTATCAAAACAAGTTTTCATCTTCCTTTTTTTCCGCTCCTGTTCTCAATTACGCTACCTACGAAATCGTATTTTCCTCCATCCCATAGGTGCTCTCAAGTGTGGAAAACATTCCCTGCGGGATAGCACCATCCGGAACAGGAACGACCTCACCATCCATACATACATACATATCCATAAATTGCACGTAAGTAGGGCAAAAGAAATCCCTGCTGCTGCTGCTGCTCGGTGCGAGCGATCCAAACACAAGCTTCGCAAGAACTGAAAATATTTTGCCATCGGAAACGAGGATGAGAAGGTAATCGAAACGGATAATCCCTGGATCCCTGCCGCGCGCATTCTGTACGTACCGACATTGGATCAGATAAGCGGTATTTTTCTCTGTTGGATTGGAAGATCTCTCCAATAAAAGAAAAAAAAAATTGAAGCATACCCAAACAAACGCTCCGAAGAATGCATAAATGCATCCAACTCTATCGATGGGACAATAATGATGAATCCTGTTCAACGTTTCCATGCAATCAGAACCGCTAGCTCAAGGATGCGTGAAAATCAACTACCTCGGAGCCATTTAACTACCTGTCTTGGATGTCGTGATTAATTTCCGGAAAAATCTAGGAAAAACTATCCGATGGGGGGGGTTCCCACTTCCGAGGAAGACGGTGAAACATGACGTGATAATGGATTTTTCCACCTGAGAAGAAAGTGCTACCCATTAGAGGCAGTCATCCGCCCAGTCAGTCAGTTCTGGGCTGGATGTAATTATCTAGACGCTAATGATATAGGACCAGGTGACGTGGCCTGGCCGTGGCATTCGTGAGTTTGGTTGTGCCTGTGTGGAAGGGTTGACACTTCATTAGATGTTGTGTCTCTTCTATCATGATTTGTTTGGATAATGATGGGTTCGTCATGCTTGGGCTTGGTGGAGGAAGCTTGTAAATCTTTGGGTTGAATATCAACTTACAGCTAGCGAACTGAGTATTTTGATTGGGGTTGTTTAAGTTGATATTTTCTATACTTTCGTGCTTGAAGCTCTAATGCTATTAGTCTCACACGGAATCTAGAATTGCTAGAATTACATACAGTTTTGTTTAAAAGATAAAGATAACCTTTAGTCTTGGAAAAATATGCAAAGGTCATTATTAAAATCTGTTATCAGTTGAAGATCTATTTAAATACTTTCTGACCAACCCACCATCTTGTGACAATACCTGTGAAACGTGATATATATTTATGATCAGTTTAGGATCTTCAGAATAATACTTAATCAACCTCAAGTCTTGTAAAAAATATGCAGAGGACTAAACTGAGTAGTACAAATCACTTGAAAAAAAAAACTTTTTGATCAGTCGTTCATGTTCTTGAGTCTTGAAAAATATCCGGAGGAATTTATTGATATCTTATCAAAAAAAAAATGGTGTCTATCATCAAAGTTCTCTAAAATTCTTAAACATAATATTTAAGACCTAAACTCAGTTCTCTGAGCTCAAACGAAGCTCCTTGAACATCTCTCCAATCGAATGAGCTTATCAAATAATTGCAGCATCCCTATGAAGTTCCTTGAACTTGTGGGGAATTTCACATACATCTGGAAATGCTGTCTGTTTTTGACGTAGGACTACGTCTGTGACTTCTATATGGGAGCACACTTTGTGAAAACCGGAAAATGGAAATTGTAACAAAGTTATGAAAGATTTTGAACATTAATAACTCAGATGCCCCTGGACCAATTTCAATAATTTTATCACCAATCGATCAGAAATAATTCCACACATCAATAGCAATGCTTCTGAGTGATGATTTTCAACAAGAAACTTTTGAAAAAGTGGAAATGTCAAGCATTGTCCAATGTACAAATAAAAAGTGATAATTTTAACAGTATTTTCTTGAAATTAACGTGCTTTCCAAACCCAGTCGTCATAATCGAGTACCACTTGGTTGCACATCATTCTGTTTTAACCTGAAAAGATATAAAAGAGCGCTGGTCTAGCCTCAACTCATTCGATGATTCTCTGCTTGAACGTCAAGCAGTACAGTTCGGTCTTTGCTCGCTCTGTCGAGTTGTTCGAAAGTTCCTAGTTTGTTCCAAACATTCGCAGTTTAATCGCGTCGTCGGTAGTGTCGGTCGCTTCGTGTGATGGGAAGACAGCGCTCCCGGAGCAGGCTCCGAGAGAAAACGAAGAAGAAGAACAGCGGTGAGGGTAGCTTGAGTGTACCTATTTCGAATAGGTACGCTACTCTTCCCACCGATGTAGGGAATCCCACCTCAGCCACGGTGAAGCGGTCTAAGAAGAGGAAGAAAAATCAAGGCCAGTCCGATGGTGCGAGTGGACGGGACGATGCCACCGCGACGAACGTCAGCGTCATTGGTGATTTCGGCGACGCCGTCGACAACGAAACTGCTGCCAGCCCGAGTGCAGCAAAAATGAAGCTTCCTCCACTGGTGGTGAAGCAAGTCCCACTCAACACGCTGATTGGCGATCTTTCATCGCTGGACGTTGCAGCTGAGTTTAAGCTCGGCAGGATCGGCACCAAGGTGATGCTCCGAACCAAAGCGGAGTACGAAGTGGCCGTGAAATATCTGAAGGATACCAAGGCGGAATTCTTCACGCACGACATCCCCGGTGAGAAGCCCTTCAAGGTAGTCATCAGGGGTCTACCAAACTTCGACCCCAAGATGGTCGAAGCCGAAATCAACCGGTACAAGCTAGCCCCAATCGCTGTCTTCCGAATGACAAGGAGAGATGAAAACGTGAAGACGTACCCGGATTGTCTTTTCCTGGTGCACTTCCAGAAAGGAACGGTGACGCTCAATGCGCTACAAGCCATCCGATCGATCTACTCCATCATCGTACGGTGGGAGCCATACCGTGGCGGTCATCGTGACGTAACGCAGTGTCAGAGGTGCCTCAATTTTGGACACGGTACCCGCAACTGCAACATCAAGCCACGCTGCAGCAACTGCGCTCAAGAACACGCCACTTCCAACTGTCCTGCGGATGGAGCCGTGGCGATAAAATGCGCTAACTGTGGTGGTGCACATCAAGGCTCTGACAGACAGTGCTCCAAACGCGAGGACTTCAAACGCATCCGAAAGCTGGCGTCAAGCAACAATCAACCAGGACGCAAGAAGGACAAAACCCCATCATTCAGGACGGAGGATTTTCCGCCTCTTCGTGCTCCCCAGCAAAGGCAAGCGAATTCGCGGGTGCAACCCGCCCCCCCTCAAGAAGCTTCCGGTGATTCTGCTGGTCAAAGCTCTCCATCCCCCCCTGGATTCTGGAGACAACCAACAGCGCAAAACAACAACCCCGATCTGTTCTCAGCGGATGAACTGATGGAAATTTTCGTCAACATGTCCGGTGCTCTTCGTAAGTGCCGCAATAAGCCCGAACAGATCCAAGTGCTCGGTAAGTTCATCATCCAGTATGGCGTCTAAACCGCTAACTATCGTCACCTGGAATGCTTGCTCTGTAAGAGCAAAAAAGATTGAGCTTGCCGACTTCCTCCGCAAGCACAGCATCGACGTGGGCCTTCTAACCGAGACCCATCTAAAGTCCGGTGACAGCTTCTGGTTGCCTGACCACAACACTATCCGGCTTGATCGCACCAGCTCCAGGGGGGGTGGTGTTGCGGTCATCGTCAAGAAAGGAATAAAATACCACACTCTGTCCCATATCCGCACCTCTATCATCGAGGCCCTTGGTGTGGAGGTGGAGTCGTCGACTGGATACGTCCAGTTCATCGCCGTCTACTGCCCTCGACAGTGTGCCGCCAGCAGTGGACTAGCGGCTAAATTCAAGAAGGACCTGTCCACCATCACCCGTACCGGTTCCCGCTTCGTAGTTGGAGGAGATCTGAATGCTCGCCATGAGGCCTGGCGGAACTACCAGCAGAACCAGAACGGTCGTCTCCTGTTCGACCACTCACAGCATGGGTTGTATTCCGTTTGGTTTTCGGATGAACCAACATTCATCTCACCGGCGGGCAACCCATCGACGCTAGACCTGTTCCTGACAAATATCGGCTTGTCCAAGCCGGTAGCCTTGAACGAACTCAGCTCCGACCACCAACCGGTGGTGGCTGAACTGGGCTGCAACGTGGCTCCTGCTTCAAGCCTGCGCAAGGACTACCATCGCGTTAACTGGGCCCAGTTTGGACGCGTGGTAGACAGGCACATCATCGACAACCCGCCGCTTGACACCGTGGAGGACATCGACCGAGCGTTGGAGGGACTCCACCAAGCCATAACCGTGGCTGACGAGGCGTGCGTCCGACGAGTTCCTGTGAGGGGTAAGTTTATTGCCATTGATTCCCACACCCATCTTTTGATTCGCCTGAGAAATGTTCGTAGACGCCAGTTTCAGAGGACTGGAGATCTGGGCAAAAAACGTGAAATGGCTGATCTGAACAGACAGATTGCTTCCAGAATGGACTCACTCCGAAATGAAAGTTTCGGGCGTGTTGTCCAGAATCTGGACGACCGCTCCAGACCATTCTGGAAGGTAGCCAAGGTTCTGAAAACTCATCCCAAACCCATTCCACCTCTCAGAGTCGAAAATGATGACGATCGGCTTTTAATCACCCCACAGGAGAAAGCAAATGCGATCGGCGAGCATGTCGCTTCAT